CCTACCAACGGCCAGGAGCCCACCCCCAACTGACCACCCCCCCAGACTGCGCCAGCCACCCCAGCCCTTCCTTTGGCTGCAGCGCCGGGCAACTGTCCCCTCCATGCATGTTTTGTTTTGTCTCAGATGTTTGTAAACTAAATTTTGTTGTGCTCTGTACAACGACAAATAAAGGCATTCTGATTCAGATTCTGAAAATGCCAGAACCAACAACCCTAAAAACTGTCTTTAAAAATGTTAGTTGGAGCAACATAATTTAGACAGGATGAAATCTTCATGTTGTTAATTATTTTCTCCAGCTGATTAAACACAATCATATTTAGCTATAATTCCAGACGAGAAATAAGAGAAGTCCTTTAWAAAGTCCTTATTATATTTGGTAGGACTGTAAATTGTAGTGCAGAATCAGGTGGGCGCGGCCCAACATGAACATCAGAAGTTCAAAGCTTGAATAAGTCAGTTGATTGATGTTTACAGGTGAACATCTTCTTAAAAACAGCTGCTACATCTCCACTATGTCCATAAGTTCTCAGTGCATTAAAATACAGTATGTACAATTCATAGGTAAAAGACTGTATAAACCTATTGACTCACCAACGCTGAGCCAGGTCTCTGTCACCAACATAAAATCCAGATCTCGGGTGGTAAACAAATCATTTAAAATAGTTTTATTTGCTAGCGAACTAACGTTAATAAGTCTCATCCTTGTCAGAACCGGTCCTTTCTCGTCATGGGTGTCAGACACAATGGTCGAGGACTCCGAGAGTTTACTCCACACGAATGGAGACATAGTGAAGGCTGGCAATGAAAGGTTGTCCTCAGGCTAGCAACAGGTACCAAGCAGATGACAGCTGGAACCAGAGAGCACCAGTAAATGGTGCAATGGATGTGTCACTCAGGTCCACCCAGGATGGGGAACAGCAATCCAGCAGGCGATGCCAAGAAGGCTTTCCCTTTCACCAAAAGTCTGCCATGTTTGCACTGGCATCATCAACTGGGCCATGTAGAAGGTAAAAGGGAACGTCTGTCAGGAAAGGCAGAAGGAGGGCTTTCTGTCTCCTAAAATTAACATGTCTTAGATCCTGGGCAGCAAGACGAATATTAAAAAGATCCTGATGATGACAGACCAACAGAGAGTCCCATATGCAAATAAAATTATAAAAATGAACAGAAATTCATAAAAGCTGTGCAGAGACAAACAGCAAGCCATCTTGACAAATTTGCTGGACACTTATTGGCTTTCCAAAAAATAAAAAAACAAAAAAACAATGCAACACATGAAACAAATGTCAAATCATAAAGACACAAGATTACCTGTTTGAAAGTATCAACAACTTACCATCATAGAGTCCTGTGTCTTCCTCCATTGTGCAATATGAAACTATAGAAATTTAATAGGAAAAAACAGCAAATCAGATCATTTCTGATAGCAGTTTACAAAGGTTTTTAACATTTGGCTGAGAAATAGAAAGCATACAGTAAGCATGTAGAAACATCAAAAGCACAGTCATAAAAGGTTTGATAGATGTTGGAGTCTGACCTACGGCCCAGACAGCAGCTCCAACGGCTCCCAAGGTCATCAGAGTTACACATGCCACAATCACCCGACATGGGGTCAACACGCAGGTCAAAGAGATCGCTCTGCTCCCTGAACACACACACGAAGCACACAAATATATGTCAGTTCAGTCTCATATAAGAGTATCCACATGTACACTGTCATGGTCAGGTGATCTTGATTTTACAGCACATCTGCACAAGCTGAAGCACACACCTGTTAAAAACAGATCATAGCCGTTCATTCTGTATGCACAAACCTGTGCAGATGTGTCCTAACACGTTAATCTAGTCCATTAAACATTAAAACCTATTACCAAGCGCACATGGCTGAAAACATAACAGAAGTGATGAAATCAAAAAAGTAAGCACAGGAGTGCTTAAAGTGCTAAAGTGTAAGGCTAAAAACACTGGAGCTGCTGATTTTTTTATTTGCTGTTAACAGATTTAACAGAATAATATGACAACATTTGAGAATACTGCATAATTAGGGCATTTTCTTTGGACTCTCAAGTAGTTTTGGAGAAAAACATTAAAATCCTGCCATTTTTGTTGTCACAACATGAAGAGGAACAGCTCGTGTCCTGGCACCTACTAAAAAAAGAACAGATGAATTAGATCAATAGTCTAGAGTCCAGCTTTTCTCCAAAAAGCAAGAACCAACTCTTTAAAGTAGGATTCATGCAGGGTCCAAAGGCACATGCAGTTTGAGAAGGGGTTCATTTACCCCCATATTGTTCTCATCCCTTTTCTCTTTTAACCCTTTGCTTTAAGGGGAGTTTCTCAAATTGAAACTTAAATTGACTGAACTTGGTGACTGAGACTGAAACAATTTGCACACACCAGAGTTCGACTCACTTTGCACACACTGAGTTTAACTCATTTCACACAAGTCTGTCATGACTGTAATTTCCTGTAACTGTATATCTTTCTGCACAGTAGCTGCTTCAATTTTTGTCTAATTTCTCATTGATGGTCTGGTACGGTAATTATTATTCTTATTCTGTTTTTGCTATAACTGATATTGTCACATAGTTGTGTATTGATGTGTGTACTTGCTGCTGCTGCTACATCTGAATTTCTCTGCGTGGGACAATAAAGGCTGTTTCTATTCTATTCTATTCTATTCTGTTCTATTCTAAATTCTCTCATTGCACTGAAAAGAAACAAACATGACTAGGTCTCAATATGATCCATTCGAACTGGCGAAATTTGCTGTTATTCGGGTAGTTTGTTTTCCATTTCTTGTCAGCCAYGCCCTCTCGGCTCAAGGCCCAGGATGAACCCTTTGCCCCCTCGGCAGACAAAATTATTGTGTGGCGGCATTTTGCTTCAGCTACTCCAGAAGCTGACTGTTGTACACACAAGCAGACACTTGTACTGTCAAGATAGGGTAGCATGAATGAACCCCTCGTCTTAACATGACCTCTTCACCCTACAGGTCCTGATTCCTCTTAAACTGAACTCTGAGATCAATAGGTTGGGTAGACATGAATATGATGTTTGTGAAGGAAATAATGAGTTATGTTATTGAGTCATTTACATATGATATTTAACATTCTTCACAGGACTATTTCAAGAAAATATTAAAGCAAAGGTAATTCTTCTTTGTAAGAATAGTGAGAAATGCGTGTTTACAAATTGTAGACAAATATCCTTGTTGCCACATTTTTCTAAAACTTTAAAGAAATTATTTGTAACCAGGTTAGATCAGTTTATAGATGAAGAATATTTTAAGTAGCAGTCAGTATGGTTTAGAACAAATAACTCAAAATCAATGGCTCTCGTGGAATTAACTGAAAAGATAACAATTGCTGTTGATCAAAGATTTTACTCTGTTAGCATTTTTCTTAATTTAAAGAAGACTTCCAACACTATTGACCATGACATCTTTATTGAAAAGCTGAATAAATACAGCATTAGAGGATTAGCACTACAGTGGGTGACGAGTTATCTGAATAATAGGAAATTTGTACAAGTAAATATTGTAAGATCTTTTTTTTACCACTTTAGTAGAAAGCAGTACTAAATATCTGAATATTAGTATCTTAGCTTCTTCATCATCAGTGGCTTTTTTGCTTATATATACAGTATATATATGTATATATATCCATTTTCCATTTTCTTCCGCCTATCCGGGGTCGGGTCGCGGGGGCAGCA